CAACATGAGTCCGATGGGTTCTTTTTGGACTGCCATTGCTAAGGCAGCTGAGCTTAGGTATCAGATGAGCTACAGTTTTTTTTTCAACGTTCAACCCTGAAATTTTGACCACCAAGAGAGAAAGGGTTTGACCACAGGTCCTTTTCCAGGACAAACGCAGCTTGATCGTACTGTATGGACAAAGGACAGCGGATAATCACGTCTGACATCATTAATCCTGTCACCTGCAGTAACCATAAATAAATATACCCACCTTTCTCCTGTAATACTTCATGGTTTCTTTACCCGACCTTAGCTGCAGCCTCTGACATCATCCTGCGATCCTATTGATCTCTCTTTCCCCGTGCTGGCTCCCTTATCGACATGTACGAGTGTATTTCCTGTCCAGTCTGTCAGCGCTGTTTATGGACGGCCGTGGCCTCTTTAAACCTGAGCACAGAAACATGTGAGGCCAACTGCTTCTCTTCATATTGATGTTTCTCATGCGTCTCACTGTGTCCTTAACAAACCTGGTACTCGTGCACCGGCGACGTCCAGATGTGAAGTATTGACCACGAGGGCTGTGATGTAAGAGCTTGTCCCCGCAGAGGTCTGGGTGAGGTCACCGTGAGTGTATGTCTGCATGAGGGAGGGAGGGAAAAATGACTTGTTGTTGGGAGACGCAAGTGTTCCTGGGAAATGTCACTTCCAGAAAAGTTATCGTGAGCCCAGAGCAGCAGGAGACGGTGTCAGCAGCTGCTTCCAGAGGCTGACGGATGATAGAGACAGGCAGATGATTACAGACACTGTGCCTCACTTGACTGACAAGTCCCTCACACTTACACACAGGCACAAAAGCACTGACAGTTCTCCTTGTGCTCGCCTGCAGGCTCTTCCAACTCTGCTGTTCCGTGTCCTCCTGAGATCATTGTTGAGATCTTCATGATCCTCGAGAGAGAATACAGTACTGCACCGTCGCTTGATTAAAGCTCCGAGGTCCCTCTCTGTGTGTCCTGTGACTTTGACCTGCTGTCGTGTGCAAAATATTCAGAAGTCAAAACGCCAGAAAATGTGATAAATAGTCTGCTGTCTGCGTATCCGTCACAGCGAACGCTGCGTGAGGACATTGTAATTTAGTTTCCCGAGTTCCCAAAGGAAAATCCAGTTTTTACACAGTGGCTGTTTTTACTGTTGGGACGACAACAAGGACAGGAGCTGGACGTCTTTGTCAGGTTATTGATAGTCGTCCTGCAAAAATGTTTTAGTTTGATGAAGATGATGAAAAGAAAAACTGTCTGTGTGTCCCTGGTGTCCCGTGTGCTGAGAAAAAAAAGTCAATTCTTTAGGTCACCTTTGTCAAACTCAAGGCCCGTGGGCCAAATGTGGCCCACCAGGTGATTTTGTGTGGCCCGTTGGAGCTTAAAAAAGGGTTTGATTGCATTAAAATAAAGTCCAGGCTGCTGAGTTTCTTAATTTTAAAAATAGTTTTTCTTCATTACACAGAGCAATGTCCAATATTTGTAATCAATTTCAGAAACAGTACAGTTAAAACATGTCCTTTAACTACAGTATATTGCTGATGCCCCCCGCAATGAAACACATGGAGAACTGAACTGAAAAAGTACACACTCCCACGGGTATTATTGTGAAAGTTGGTCATTATGTAGCTAAACTAGAACAATAATAATAATAAAAAACAACATTTAAATGTTTTTTTTCCTCATGTCATGATCCACTGACTCAGACAGGACTATTTACCTGCACATGTAATTTTCTCTTCACTTCACTCCAACAGCTGCCTGGTTAAGGATTAGGACTAAAGTGGCTCGCCTGAAGGAGAATAACATTAATGAGGAGCCTCCACTAAAGCCACCGTTGTGAGAGTGTGTGTGTGTGTGTGTGAGAGAGAGAGAAGAGCTGAAACCTTAGTTTTCACAAAGGCTGGTTTTTATTGTTTACTGGCGTTGGTTTATATAGTTTCCACTGACTGTTGAGGTGAATGACGGCAGCTGCCTGAGCCTGAAGAGGAGGCAGGTGGGCAGCACTGTCAAAAAAAAACAAAAAAACCCAAAAAAAACAAAAAAAAAAACCCCTACACTTCCAAATGAAAATCAAATACCACAGGTGAAAAGCTGTTGTCGCCTCTTCCATTTGGTCTGTAACTGTAGGAGGAATCGGTGACGCGTGTCAATGTTTCGTGCTTGTACCTGTACCTGTGTGAATACACACACACACACACACACACACACACGCCTGCCCTCAAACTAACTGCTTCCCCCTGGCTCTTCATGAGGAGTCATTAGCGATGTGTCTGTGTGTGTTTTATTTTTAGCCGTGTGCATTTAGGAAGGGCTGCAGCGGTGCTGGAGTCTCATCCGTCTTCAGGGCTGTCCTGCTCCGTCTCTCTGTCTCTGCCTCCAACTGAGAGCTATGTATATTTCATAAGCCCAGGGTGCCTTTTTGTCTTAAGATGTGCTGTGGCTCCGCTGACTGTCTCTGCCGCTGCAGTCATCAATGGAGGGAGCCATCACAGCTTCCTTTAAACTCACCCTCTGTCTTCCTCCTCCCTGACAGCCACGCGCTACTTCTCCCACTCCTTTTCATGGTCAACTTGTTTCTCTCCAGCTTCCTCATCCCTCCTTCCTTTTTTCCAGCATGCACTTCCAAGCCTATGATAACTGTCAGGCAGAGTCTTCCTCTTCCTCTCCCCTCTGTTCTTCCTCATCTTTGATTCTGCCTATCTGTCTGTATTGCAGCTCCTTCACCGCAGGGAAGGGACACATCGTCACCCGGCGCCGCGTCCCCTTTAGCTGTTTTCTTTTTATAGCGGGAATGCGAGTGCTGTGACAGCAGCTAAAAATAGTGGCACTAATGTTAGAGCAAAATCAGCCTTTAATTGCTATATTTGTATGGTCAGAGTCTTTCCATAGTTTGGGTTCAATATTTATTCAACTGCCAATAAATATTTGTGTTGTTGCCAGGATTAGTTCAGCACGGGTAGCTAAATAGCTAAGAGCTAGCCATGATAAAAATGTTTACATCAAAACTGACACCTCTCTATTATCAATTTGTTGATTAAAAATGTCTATGTGTTTATTTTTATTTTTTCAGGCTGGTGCTGTGAGTGAGGGTCCGTCTGGAACCAGTAAAGAGGACGAATCAGGTTCTGGATCCTCCCAACCACCAGGGGACCACACCCCTCCTCGTCCCGTCAACACAGCCCTAGAAAAGACCGAAAACCCAGCGCCCGGTGAGTCGCACATTCCAGATGCCTTTACGACACTTTTTTCCGAAACCTTCGTCCCACATGAAACATTTTGGTCAATTTTCTTTATCGCTTCGAGTCGATTCATTGTTTCAGCTCTAATCAGGTTTTCACACATTCATATTGTGATTTTTTTTTTAAATTCTTGGCCTTTGCGTGACCTCCTGCTTGGGAACACGTACCTTATGCTCTCAAAGAACTCGGCCCTGGTAAGAACGGTGCCTTTGTTCTTTATTCTGTACGCCTCGAGATTTCATCGTCCTTTTGACCCCACGGTCCTGGCAGAACAGGAAGTAGTCACACCCCTGCGGTGAATGAGATGAGGTTTGAGGCTGTAACTCTCAAACTCAAGGCTGACAAATTTCCCTTTCAGTCTTTTTTTTTGCAGACATGTTCTATCGTGTCTCTCAAAGCTTCCTCCTCTTCCTCCTCCTCCTGTAACTCATCACATGGCCTCATCATATCACCATTTTTAGGTCATCCTCTACAAAGTACTTCATCATTTCACTCCTAAAAAACAGGCCAAAGTCACTCTTTCTTTCTGACAGTTTATTGGCACAGAGCTAACAGATGCTGCGGCTGTCGCTGTTAACGGAGGCAGATGAGATGAATGACACTCCCTCGGTTTGTTTACCACAGAATTTGATCTTTTCACACCACTTCTCCTGCAGCAATTAAACAATTTGAGGAAATTATAGTCACAGTAAAAACAAGTCTTTCCAACCGATGCTTAATGGTGTTAGTACGTTAGCAACAGGTCTCGCTCGGTTTGGTTGTTTTTAGAGCTCTACGATGTTAAACTTAACATAAACACACACACACACACACACACATATATATATACCATATATATGATATAGTTATATATTGTTGGGAGCAATTTTCAAAAAAAAAAGTATAACCATCTTACAGTATACAAAGTAGATAGAGTTGTCAAACTCCAGGCTTGGGGCCCAGGCCATGAACCCAATACATTTTGCCTTTGATGATTTTACTCTTTTTTTTCTCCTTAGAAAACTTCTAAAACAGAGAAATATTGTGTTATTTTGCTGTTGGCAAGCAAGTTAAAAAGGTATTTCTGGGCAGCAAATGAGACACCATTAGCAATCATTCAACAATAACAATCATTTTGTTGTTGTTTGTTGTTTGTCTGACTGACAACAATACAAAAGGTTGATCTTTGTGCATCTGTTGTGGGTGGAACACGTGACTGTGAAATGACGTTAACCGGTAAAAGAGAAAAAGAAAGTTGGTGAGTCATAATTTCTTCAGTAACAGTGACGTCCCTGCGATGATTAGTTGAAAGTGAGACCAAAGGGAAGTTGAAAAGCCACAGAAGGAGAGGTGGAAGGTACGGAGGGAGACTGAGAAATGCAGCAGGAGATGTCAGGTTGAACCAGACACATGTGGGTGAGTTTGCCCTGAGGGACGCCATCAAGCTGGTTCTGGAACTGGCTGCGTTTATTTGGAAAGCGCTGCTGTCTGCTCGTATCAGTGTCCAGAGCTATTTTTCACTGAGCAGTCTTGGTCTCCAATAATAAAAAAAAAATCCAATTTTTTTTTTAACTTTCTGACTTTGTCACTTTCTGTTATGCTCACAGCTCGTTTGTTTTCTCTTTTAGGCCATTTCTTTTTTGCCACAACTGTCATTTAGAGCAAATCATCTCACACACTCCTTTAACCACGTGCACTGTCTCAACCACGACACACTCAAAGGCACTGGTTAAACAGTCCCGACAGATGGGCCCCGCACCACCGGGGGCTCCTCCCTGTCGTCTAGTGTGGCTTGAGAACAGAGTGTTTCATGACTTATTCAAGTGCTCTCCGTGATGTCTTGCACTGCGGCTCACGCTGACATGACACGGCCCACTTAGGCTGGAAACGTGACACAAGACACGCTTGTGGTATTCACACCAGAAAGGGAGCAGAGATGTGCACCAGTCATGATACGACTGATGAAGACTGCTGCGTCTGAGAGGTCTAAATGGTTCCCAGTGTGACAGATCAGATGAGGCTGATGGGTAAAGACGGCCGACGATCGTGCTCTTCCCTGGAGTTAGCTCTCTGTTGGGTTTTAATTGTGGATGTATAAATATTTAATCTTCTAATGGCCGCAGTTCTATTTTAAATGTTTGTCAAGAGCAGAACAGAGGGAGGCGGTGAGTGCAGACGGACACGGAGCTAACAATTCCTCGGTGCTAAATGCCGTTTATTTGTTATACAGATGACAGAGCTCTGTCATGCCCCCCCCTTGGGGACAGAAATGTTTTCACGCCCCCCAAACCCACGACCCCTGTACATTGAAATACTATTGAGAACCTGATAACATGTATATTTTTTATCTGTTTAAACCACTGTATGTGTTGCTGCCACCTAGTGACCGGAGGCTTGTTATCATTCAAGCATTACAGCAGTGGTACACTTATGTCCATATGTGCCCCATATTCCATTGGAAGCCCCTCGCGCCCCCCTAGCACCTCACCGCGTCCCCACAGGGGGGCCCGCCCCACTATTTGAGAAGCATATATACTTTATAGTCCTTTGAATCAAGAACCTCCATGTTGTCTGTTGATGCAGCTGCATCATACGTCAAAAGTGGCTCAAAATTTTTTGGACCAACATTTTTTCCATTTCTACATAACACTTGTTAACACACGTCGTTAGGCAGTTAGCTTTAGCTTTTAGCTTCAGGTTCATATCCAGTCACATACCCGTGTGTCCCAGCGTTCAGCCTGGACCTTAGATAAACTGGTGTCAG